GGCATCCCAGAGCACAGTATGATCTAAATTTGGGTAAAGACACAGATCTCTGTCAGCATAGCATTTAGTGGGTTACATAAAACTGACTTTTTATGATGACAGTTTAATGACTTTAGTTGTCTTGCCTGCATAAAGCGTGCTGTGATCACTAAAAACAACAGATGGTCAGCATAAGAGCAAAGAGAAATGACAGACTGAATGAAAGATCTCCACTAAAAACTTGAACTGCAGGCGGTCGGTTTAGACAACAAGACTCTGAATACTGGGGTAATGATATCCTGTTTGTAAAAGAGGGAAATCGTGGGATCATTTGAGGTGTGGTAGGTGAGAATGGGTGAAAGGCAGGGCAAAGATAATGGATAACTATAGCTGTTTTAACCTGGTAAACAGTACTGCAAGAGTTATGTAAGAGGACATGTAGAATAGCTCTCTTGAATGTTACTGGCAACAACTAGGCTATTTTAGAGGAAAAGGAAGCATCACATATTTCAGTGGCATCCTATTTCCTCTGTCTTACTCTTATTCTTTTGCAACTTTACATGCAGTATTTCTCAAGTCTGTAGTATTCTTCTTAAAAGTTGTAGTTTGTCTTGTGACTTGTACAGTAAATGTGAGCAACAAAATGAATAGTTACAACTCTCTCAATGTATTTTTCTCTCGTCCATTCTCTTAAAAAGTGGCCAAGGTTTTATTATTTTATTACATTTTATTATTAAAAATGAATTAATTTATTTGCAAGCAGCAGGGATTAAACGAGTAGCTTTTAGTGTGATTGAATGGATGCATGGTTGTTGATATCAATATACACAACATCACCACCTGCTGGGCGCGTTATGTTACGTCTACAGTTCTAAAATAATGTATAATGCATGTGTAATGCATTTAATGAAATTGTTATTCCATATGATTCCTTACAATTAGATTTTTTTAAATGTATTTTAAACTTCAAAAGCATTAATTTTATGTGGGCCTTTAAATGTAAATGTTTAGGTTTATTAGACCTGTTTACCACTTGTTTCTGCATTTTGAAACTGCATTATTTTATATAACTTTTCAAATCAGATACTTTAGAAAGGATATAAACATTTAAAAGTCTGGGGGAAGGGATAGTATTTCTGAGAAAAATACTTAAGATACCAGGTTTAGAGTCAAGTTACAAAAAAAAAAAATTAGTCCTAAAGTGGTGAAAAATAGCAATAAATTAATTACACAATAATATATCCTGCCCATGTAACGGTTTATAACACATATTATGTGATACATTTATAATATCTCAATATAAAAAAATAAAATGTGTGTAATTTTCGCATAATTTGTTACACTTGTTTAATACATTTTAAAAACATCAACACATATTTAATCTATTTTACCAATTTATAACTTAAAATTCAGTAAAATGGCTTTAATACAAAAATGTTTCAAATTGTATTCGCTAATGACTCAATTTGCGACGAGTAAATTCTACTGCACTAAACAGCTTGATTTGCTTTATCTTTGTTTGTATCTCGTCTCTGGTTATGAACATAGTCTCTCTTTCTCCTGAATTTTTTCTCTATTCATTCAATAAAATAGTCATGGAACAATATTAAACAGAATACAAATGAAAAGAATACAACGAGTTTCACAAGGACAAATGAATTTTTTTAATGTATATCCGGTGTCGCATCCGGAAGTTTGGCCCTACGTATTTTCTTACGTTTGTTGTCGTAAAACACATAATTTCCGTTGAAGCGGAGTCCTCCAGATACGTAATACATGTTCGTGAATCGCAAGACCATACGCACAACGTGCATGGTACGCCATTCCGCTGAGCACAAACCCAGCACACAACTACATTCACTGGCGAGAAACTGCTTTTAATATAGTAAGTTTTATTGTTCTATGCGAGAACGTAAAGCTTTTATTTGTTTATTTTAAAATAAGTATCACAGTTTTCTTGGTAATGCTAGTTTGCGGAAACAGTTTGCTTGTTGTATAATATGTAGTAAGCTAAGCTAACATGCTAACCCCTGCTTTATTAAAACCGTAAAAACTGCTGCATATATCCATATCATAAATGTTCGAATATTAGTTTGACCTTCAAAATATGTATCTATTACTTAGGGTTTATATGGTGTCTTTAATGAATAAAAAGTGGCTTGCTAGTTTCGGTACGATAGGAAACTCAGAATTCAGGCGCGATAGCCAAGTTAGTCAGTGAAGTTCATTGTTGTGGTTTAGATATATAACGGTTTGCTCAAATATTAGCGTTTTAATTCGGATTTCCTTTTATTTCCTACAGATTTGGCTTTTAGATCTCACTTAGTCCACATTGTGGTTCTTTGAATGACCTCGTAGTGGAGTGTTCAATTTAATTATAGTCTTAAACGTGTTTCAGTTCTCATGCTTTGCAGTTTGATCTCATATTTTGTGCTTTACTGTTTTCCTTGCAGTACACGCTGCCATGGCAGCTGCATTCCCCTACAGAGGTGTGCCTGTAACAATGCCTCCAGGTGTTCCTCCACCTCCTCCTGCTGTTGCTCCAGTACCAGATTACATGACTGAGGAGAAACTGCAAGAGAAAGGTGTGTTTACATGGTTGATCATGGACTTAGTGTTTGCTTTGTGTACTCTGATTGTTTAGTGACGTGATTTTTTTTTTTTTGCTGTAGCTCGGAAATGGCAGCAGCTTCAGGCCAAACGCTACTCGGAGAAGAGGAAATTTGGCTTTGTGGATGCTCAGAAAGAGGACATGCCACCTGAGCATGTGCGCAAAATCATCAGGGATCATGGTGACATGACGAACAGAAAATTTCGGCATGACAAGAGGGTCTACCTTGGGTAAGAACATTTGTGTTATTGACTAGGCAACTGATATTTATGTATGTTCAGTATTAAAAGTATATGTTGCTTTTTGTTTGCAGAGCCTTGAAATATATGCCCCATGCAGTGCTCAAACTGCTGGAGAATATGCCCATGCCCTGGGAGCAGATCAGAGATGTTCCTGTGCTCTACCACATTACTGGTGCCATTTCCTTTGTAAATGAAATCCCATGGGTGATTGAGCCGGTGTACATTTCTCAGTGGGGGTAGGTGATGATGACATGACTTTCAGAGCAGAGATTGAAACTTTCGGGCTCTACATTTTGTGAAAAAAA